CTGTTGCCAGGGCCAGGCAGCAAGGGTCACAGTGGTGCCCACCCTCACTGCCCAGCCCCGACAACAAAATCAGCAGGGAGGGAGGGAGGGGAGGCAGGGGGAAGCCCCACTGTGAGACAGAGGGAGAGTGGGGGTGGGGGGGGGGGAAGCCCCCCCGTGTGGGAGGCTGGAGGCAGTGGTAGTCCTTACATGGCCAGCCCTGAAGGGCAACTGGGAGGGTGGCGAGCTGGGGGCCATGTAAGCAGTTCTTGAAATTCGTCATTCTTGATGGGCAATTAGCTAGTACAGTGAAAGCTTTGTTATCCAGCACCCCAGGGGAATAGGGGGTACCGAATAACAAAATATGCCAGTTAACTAAATGGCCCGAATGGGCATCTTTGCTTGTTCGGGCCGCCGCCTCTCCTGCCTCGTCGCCGAGGGACAGGGAGGGGGGCCCCATGCAAGCTGCTTTGCCCTGGGCCATGGGGGCTCGGCAAAACCGGAAGTGCCACAATTTCGGTTTCGCTTTTTCCTTACAAGCCAGCATGCCAGTTAATAGAGCATGCCAGCTTGTAAGGTGCCGGATAGTGCAGCTTTTACTGTATATCTATATATTCTTTACTTACCAAGAAACTTCTACTTGAAAACACCTGAGAAAGGTATATAGCATCAAAATCTTGTCCATGACTTTTTCCACTGCACAGTTGAAAAATCATTGTGCGTAGGATTTAAGCCATTTAAGAATATATTGAAGAGGAAATCCAGTGTTTAAGCTCCAAATATCGATTTAGAAAAAAAGTGCTGTTAAGAATAGAAAAGCTTCCTATTTACTGAACTATTTAAAAGAAAAAACAGGGTACTGGGTGAAAAGATTTTAATATTTTTCTATGGTAGAGTGAATGCCCCAAATACAAACTAAATCAAGAGAAACAATAAATCACCAGTCTATTGCACCATACAAGCTTTATGAAATTAAGGAACCAGAAAAAAGCATAAATTATGGAAATTATAAAATAGGTTAAAAATAGGTCTATAACCTATAATAACAAAAACTTGCACATCTACATAAATGAACTTTATGTTGAAACTAGCAAATTGCCCATCAAGAATGACTTGGGGAAGGGGGGGGCGGGCAGGAGGGGATGGAGTGCTGCCACCCACCACCCTGTGCCGCCGCTGTCTCCCAGGAGCAAGGGGTGGGGGGAAAGCTTGCACGCAGCTGCGGCCACCACCCAGCACCCCATGCTGCCGCTGCTCCACATCTGGCCACGTGCCAGTCCCCTCCCCCTCGGCCTGCTCCACTGAAGCCACGCCCCACATGTCATTTTTGATGCAGCACAGGCTGAAGACACGCCCCCCAAGAGCGATATGGAGAGTCAGACACACAGACTGACTAAGCATATTTATTTATTTGTATACACACACGAGCAGAATGCTACAATAAAAAATGGTCAACAGGTTTCCAAAACGTTTCACTCAGAATTCAGAAAATAAAAAAATAAAAAAATCTTACTTAGATTTTTTTTCTGAATAAAATATGCAAGTGGTATCTCCTTCAGTAGCAGCTTAGCACCCTTAATTAGGAGTCACAAGCGTGACATGATGAGATTTGATCCTATAAGTAGAGTTTTGACATACATCCTCAGTTTACAGTACTAACCTGCATTTGTTTGTAACCTTCTTGTTCCCGCTTCAGTGCAGAGTCTGTATCACGTAGCCTCTCCTGCAGAGTTTGAAGTGCTTGATTTTGCAGGCTGTTCCCTTCACTGTGGTCTTGTATTATTCTAAAATAGTAATGCAGAAATTTGTTGAAAAGACAGCAAATTTACTATCTGGTCCTCTATCTTGAAAAAATTAAAAAAATAAAACAAAACAAAACAAAAACACTATTCAGGCATTTCAACTCCCATTAGAGTTAGATGCCTAAACACCTTTCTAAACCTGGCCCAGAAACACATTAGGCAATCTTTCAAAAGTATCCATTTCAAAACAGACAGACTGACATGTTTGCACTTTGCAAAATTCCTCTTTTCCCTACCAGGTGCCTCTGCACTGCCTGCCTTGCTGAGTGACTCCCTGCCACTTGCTCACAAAGACTTACCATCTGCATTTTGACCTGATAGCCTTACCTTGGAATAGAGTTTCTCCACTCCTGTTCCCACTCCCCATGTTGAAGGAGGAAAAAAAATAATCTTAGAATCAAGCAAATGCAGTAGTTTGCCAAATGAAATCTACTGATGTAAGATTTCAAGTTTTAGAATTATTTGGTAAACGCTAAAAAGTTAGACAAACAGTTTGTATAAAAAGTTACTTCAGTAATCTCGTCAAAAGGTGGCAATTTTAGTCTTATTTAATACACTGTCTTATCATTGATGTAAAGGATAAACTTCTGTTATGTCTTAACAATACACATGCCTCATCACTTACGCTTCATCCCCTACAATTCTGTACATCTGATACATAAGAAAGCACTCACAATTTTTTAATTTTATTGAAGGTACCAAGCATTCTAGCTTGAATGCCTATACATAGTACTACTACATTCAGTAGGTTTCAAAGTACCGTGATTTTTCACTCTGCAATGCTTCCAAAGCCTCTGTCCGAGAACTCAATAGCTGATCAGCTTCCTGCAACCGCACTTTAAGCACAGCCAGTTGGGAATCCTTGGCAGCAACAGCTTCTGTAAGGTCATCAATTTGAGCTCTTAGTTCTCGAACCACCCTGTCACTCTTTGAATGGTCAACATTCCACTTTTCTACTCTTGTTCGGGCTTTATTTAGTTCTACAAAGTAAAAAAAAAAAAGTTATGTATAAACATACATTTAAAAAAGAATCTGTTATATTTTCTGGAACAGATGTTAATAGTGCTAGGTCTCATTTAAAGTTAGTATGTCAAATTACATGTAAATCAGAAATTAAATACAACCCTCCAAATTTACATAACACTGGAACAGTAAGAGCTAAAAGGCAACTCAAACAATAGCATACAGTCTCTCTTTAATCTAAGACAATTATGAAATAAACTTAAAAGCCATGTTTAAAGTGATGTACGTGTTTAACGTGTTGAGTTTTTACTGAAGATTTCATTTTACTAAAGACCATATACTGACTTTGCATTAAAGTTAAAATTAGGTATTTAAGTACTTTAAAACACTTTTTAAAAAACCTTAACCATTGTTGTTACCATCTCTGATCAGTAAGACAATTTTCCATTTTAACTATTATTGTTTACATGTTTCCATTCAATGAACTTAGCCAGAGGACATTCCAGATAAGACAGACTGACCTGTCAGTTCCTAGCCAGTTCCACCTTTGGGTCCCATCTGGCTACTCTACAAGATGTGTGCTAGGATGTTTGGGTTTCAGATATTTCAGGGAATTGTAATTCATGTTAACAAAAAAACATCAGCTACATTTTAAAAAACAAACAAACAAACAAAAAACTGGTCAGGTTGCTAAAACGGCCTTTGTAAACTCTGATTTTATAAAATTTAAATTTTGCACCTTATTAAGCTGACTTTCTTCCTTTAATCACTACTCTATTTTTGTTACTGAGCAAAATTTTGCTTACAAATTCTTTATAGTAAATTTTCATTCCACATAAATTATTATTAAATTGACTATTGAAAAATATTATGCGATTAGGAATAAGGTACATATGTTGTCAAGACTTAATTTGCTTAAGTGGTTACCTCAACCCTTCAATGCTCTCCACCTCTATACTTCAATTAGTAGGTGTCACTTGGCATACTGGCTTGTTTAACAATCTCAGAAACAGTAACTATTTTGATAGATAAAGCTGCCAAAGCAAAATACCTTCTTGCATTTCTTTGGATCTTTGAATTAATGAAGCCATTTCTTGATTTAAAGACTGAACTTCATTCCGCAGCAGTTGATTCTCCAGGCGAAGATTGGATAGCTCGTGTGACTTGCAATCGTCATTAGCTGAATTAGAATTAGCTGTTGTATTTAACAATGCATCTTTTGTAGGGTCCGCTTGTGCTCCCAATCCAGAATCTGAACTGTCAGGGGTATCTGTATAAAGAGAACTGAGTTAGATCATTAGATAACACTTATTTGTTGGTTGATCTACTTAAACCAAAGTAGATCAATTTCATGATGTACTTTAAATTCAATCTATTTTTTATTATATACAGAGAGAAAATGTAAGGTCTCTCAATGTTATGTATTTTATACACAGGTGCATCATGAAATAGCTTTTCACAATATGCAGACCTTCAATGTACAATATTATAATACATAAAATACAGATGATTTTTTTACAGCATAGCAAGAAGAGAGACAAGAGCAATTTACATTTAGTAATATGATGTACAAGTAGTACAAATTTAGGGTTGTAAAAGTCTAATACAGACAAACAGGCTAAGGCTTTTATTGTAATGCTCTGGGCCAACTGTGCATGCGCTGCTGCAATTGGGTGGGCAGCAGTTGGCTGGCCCAGGTGGGCACAGGCACAACTTTGCACTGCTGCTCAGGGAAGGAGGCAGAGGCAGTTGGGGGAGAGCGGGCCACCGCACTGTACCCCCTGACAACAGCCGGGACGGGGAGGAGGCGGCCAGAGCAGCAGTGCGCCACTGCCAATAACAGCCAGCAGGGAGCGGGAGGCGGTGGGGAGCGGGGTAAGGGGAGGTGACCATCAAGGTGGTGGCACCCTCCCCGCCCCCCACCAACAGCTGGCCGGGACGGGGAGGTCACAGTAATGGTGCCCGCCCCGCTGTTGTCGCCGGGCCCCAACAACAGCTAGGAGGGAGGGAGAGGAGGAGGGGGTGGCGAATGGAGCCGGAGGTGGGGCTCCGTCCCCACCTGTCATTCTTGACAGGCATTTTGCTAGTGTTAATATATACTCACTACTCTGCTATAGAAAGTATTTTCATCAGATAAGCACTGTAAATACAAACAACTGACTTAATTTTTTAGAATGTATTACATTCATATTAGTTACCTTATTTAAGATGTTTATATAAATTATCAAAATAAAATTTGTATCTTTTTCTAAATGCCATTTATCTTTCATACTTCTGTCATAAATTGCCATCAACATGTCTCAAATTTTTTAACCCAACTGCACAGATTAGTATGGTTTAGTAAAGATACAAATAGACTTTTAAGATTCCTACACCAGCCTCCTTACTAATCTTTCCTCAAAGAGTAATGCACTTGCATATATTTGTTGTGGGTGGAAGGAAGATTGTTTTGCCCTATAAAATGTTTTTACTATAAAAATACTGGAAATTATAGTAATTATGTACGGTGCTGTAGGAGGCTGTAAGATGATTCTTTGTTTATACTTGCCTCCCATACTTCTGCAAGGTTCTATTACACATTAAAAAATTCCTTCTAAATTTTATGCTTCTAGAAGGCACAATTCCCTACGAATGCCTTGAATTATGGCAATGAGATTCTATAGTCTCTTTATAAAATTCCAACCTATAAAAGTATATGTGAACAGACAGCTGTATTCTGAAAAGGGTTTTCTTAGGAGAAAAAGGCAGAGGTAGAGGCAGAACTAAAGCACTGGGATTCGGACTATGGAATTACTTAAAACCTACCTAACATTCTTGACTCCAATAAGCAGATACATTGGTGCTTTAAGTTAAGGTTTCACTGCTGGTAATATGAAAAAGCATGGGAGACAGGAAGTGTGAAAAAACAGAAACAGCTCTTTCATGAATGTTAACTTGACTTTGAATTCCATGCCTTTAAAATGGATAACTGGATGAAAACCAGAGAATACAGATGGCAGTTGATACAAAAGAGAGGTCAAGATTGTATTTTAAACTGTCATCATGCTGTTTACTTTACCTTGTGCTCACCAACAAACCTGTTCCACCTTCCTCCTTACCACTGCAAGAGTCCTTGTCATGATACAGCCTCCCCTGTAATGTCCCTAGAGCAATGTGACCATGCCACCTCCACCCTATGGGCACCTATTAATCTCACCTGCCATGTCTTGCTGGTTTAAATAATGAATCAAGAGGCTGCCCTGGAGTTGCAGCTCGTCACAGTCCTGACAGACTCCTCTAAACCCTGCGGGTTGTCGGACCCCTTACTGAGTCCCACACTCAGTAGGTGACTCACAGGACACCCCAAGCCTTATGGACTAGATGTGTGGCTCCAACACCTCCCCTTTACCATGTACCATGTCTTGCAGGAAGTATTTAAATGTTGTCCCTATTTTAATGAGGCCTCAGACTAACTAGGCCTCCTGTCTTCACTGGGCCCTTGGCCCCCGTCTCTGTGCCCTCTGCGGCACTGGGGTCTACACCAAGAGCGTGCCCCAGTGAGGCCTCCTCCTCCCCAAAAGCCTTAGTCCAGTCCACTGGTGTACAAACAACAACCAAAATATGAGCCCCTGGGCTGTAACATAATACAAACAGTGCAGGGTGCACTCTGTCTCTTTAAAAAAAGAGGCAAACTTCTCCCCACGTATTAAGTGCCTCACAGCCCAGGGTGCCTGATGAGCTCCTGGAGTCCCATTAGTCTGGTAAGCAGCATATCAGGTGACCACAGCATCCCTGGGCAGTTCTTCTCTGCAGGAGGTCCTTCCCCTGGCAGCTACTGGGGAACTAACAGCCTCCAGTCCCAGCCCTGGGGCTTATATGTGCCCAGGCCCCTGCCTTCTTCCAGTCAGCTGACCGGATGCAGGTGCAGGCGAATTCCCTCATTAGCCTGCTGCCACTGCAACTTGCACCTGTGGGGGTTCTGCTTGGCTCCAAGGGCCCTCTCTCTAGGTAGTTTCTGCCCGTAAAGGAGCAGGCACACCTTAATGCCCTGTGACAGTCCTCATCACACACTGCCTAGGAGATGGGCAGGCCATTAATTCTGAATAATAACACGCCAAGCAACACAACAGCAACATAATGGCAACAAAATTTGTTCAATGCTTCTTAAACAGTTCTATATAATGCCATTTTCTTCCTAATTAATTCATAGGGCTACCATATTATCAGAGAGCTAACCCTCATCTTTTGTTTCATGCCAACTCATTACAAGTTAACAGACAAAGTATTAGCCAGTCCCCTGGTTATGTACCTGCCAGTACATTTCATGGCCACATACTTGCCATCACATGCTCAAGATTTACTTTTGTCAATTAATTATGAATCTGTTCAAAGAGTCCATCTCCATTATAGAATTCTTCCCAAAGAAAGTTACATGGGAAGATGAAATTACAAAGCCATATCTACACAGCTAACCAATCATACAGCTATTATTTTCAAATTAATTTATTAAAACCAATGTGGCTTCTTTCTCTTCGAATGCACTAACAAACAAACCTAGCTAAAAGAAACAATTAGCAAACTCAAGATACTTTACTGAGCAGAACATGCACATCGTGCCGGTATTACACATCAAGGTATCATCTATTCAGAATCAATATACTTCGCTTTGCCAAAATTATGGAGTCCTAGACTTAGAGCATAGACATATCCCACTTTTGAAAAATACTCCCCTTCATCACGACTGCTAAACCTATTCACCTATTTAAACACAGGCAAATTAAACTCTTGCCTTTGAATGCTTTACATGTTTGAAGCACTGAACAAATATCGAAGAACACTACCAGCACTCTTGGGAGACAGAACAGACATTAATTTCATTTTACAAAGAGAAATGAAGGCAAGATACTGATGTGACTGATGCCACATAGGAAATCAGTAGAACTAATGTTAGAGCTCAGATTCTTGACTCCCAGCCAGATTATTCTTTTAGATCAGGGATGTCCAACTTTTAAGTGGCTGGGAGCCAAATGCCCCATCAGTCACACACTACCAGCATGAAACAGAGGGCCTCATGGGCAGCATACCACACAGATGCTTTCCCACTCTCAGCTGTACTGTGCAGGCCCTCATCCCAACCCCCAACGCACCATGTCCGCTCCCCACCACCTACAGATGCACTACACCACCACGCACTTGCACAAGCACAGGCCTACCCTCAGTTTCCTTAGCTGTGCTGCCCCAACCCTTGGGGCATTGGCACACAACAAAAGTGAGAGGAGGAGCCTGGAAGACTCTGGCTGCTGTTGAATCCAGGGTGACAGGGCTAATGGCAGCTGGGCAAGAACAACTGAACCCACAGACCAGGCCACCAGTTGCACAGCCCTACTTTTACATCAAACTTTTTATGTACCAACCAACTGTGTCTATTGCATTTAGAGCCAGTAAGTTTGTTACACTATCCACAACAATCGTAAATACCCTTATTTTTAATAAGCATGTAGAGTTTTATTTAGCTACCATGGCCTTGACTCTTGCTGGAGTTGTCTTCAGTTGTTTTCACACACTGTGCGCTGGCAGACACAGAACCGATGCTTGAAGTCCGAGAGTGATTTGGAAGAGCTTTACTCTTCTCCTTTTTAGACTCCATCCTTCCATTTGGTTCTTTCTCAGAACTATTGAGAAAATCAAACAAGAGCTCATCGTCAGGTTCAGACTTTTTCCTTCTCACAAATTGTGAGGAAGGTCTGGGTGTGGAAACACTTTCTGTTGGAGGAGAGGCCTCCAAAGAGGTCCTGGATGCTGCTTTGACATTTGCCGTTCCTGCTAGGATCGTAGCCTTCTGTTTAATGTTATCAGCTGCTGAAGAGATATAGGCTGCTTTCGATGAAGTCTGATGCTTCAATTCTCTGGTTTGCTGCTGTGATTCAGGATATTCACTGGCAGATCCCAAGTTCTTAGTACTATATATTGCATTGCCTGCAGTCTCTTTTTTACTCAGAGCTGTTGCAGCCCCTTGATCAACTCTGTTAAGAAGATCCTCTGCCCTGCCAGCAAGATCAACAAGCCAAGACATAATGGATGCCTACTGATCGACAACACTGAAACTCCAAAACCATGAGCTGGAAGAAAAACACAAAACACAGTTATTACAATGCAAATACAGGTTAACGAATCGGGCTCATCTCTGCCGTAAACCATGTGTTAGTCAAACACACTGACAGGGGCGTCAAACATACAGCCCGCGAGTCAGATCCAGCCCCTGGAGCCCTACAATCTGGCCTGTGGCATGTGGAGTCGGGGCGCGTGGGCTGGGCCAGATGGGCAGCGCCTGGTCCAGAGTGGACCTCGCCACAGACAGTCCATTGGGGCACCGGGCATCCTGCACACATGCGCCATGCGAGGCCGGTCCAGCCCCACACTGGCTCTGGCGTGTGAGGACGGGCTGGCACTGGACCCGAACAGCCGCAGAGCCAGCACACAAGG